GCCGCAGAAGGATGACATCATCATCATCAACAATTGGTAAGTCGCATGTTTTTTGTTCCTCCGGTCTCCAATCATGTTGCAGGGCGAAAGGTCCAAATCAACACGGATGACCGGTTGTATACGTAGTATTTTTGGCGAATATAGTGACCGCGGGTATTTTTATACCCGTGAGTAGGAACACATTGATTTATTTTTTAGTTCAGGCTAGGGGCTTTTTGTACATCGCGTTTTTTAACATTATAAACGCTGCATATAAAATGAATGTGAACATATAATTCAGTAATATTTCAATATAAATATTACTTATAATAAAATTGCAAAATAATATTGGTTTTTTTAATATATTAAATAGTCACAAAATGAATATTTTCATTATCTTCTTAACCTCAGGAAGGCAACTTTTTGAGTATTGATCATTTCCTTAATTATTATAACATATGATGTATAATATATTTGGTACAAAAAAACATCTCGCGGCTAGACGATTTCCGAGTGAAAGTAACAAGCATTGTAAACTATTCTCATATATTAACAAATTTACTTTCACACCTGAATCGATCGAGGATAATTAATATTTGAATTAATAATTTAATACATTTATTTAAATGATTCACCTGAAATTTTCAAAGTTAAACTATTTTACCGCAAAATCTTTATTAATTTTTGTCCTTTTAACTAATTAAATTTCAATTTGAATAATTTTCTTTAAAAATAATATTTTTCAGTGTTAACGGATTTTGCTCTTGATATACCGTTTCGTGATACTCTGTTATTTATTAACCACTTTCTAGTTCAGGATTTTCAGGACACTTTTCCGTGTTCGTTGCCTAAACTCATGCACGTGCCCAGGTGTTACTTGCATGAGCGAACGCAATGGGCACGATGATTTAGATTGTAAGAATTTATAATAACATACTTTAGCGGCTGATATTGCGTTAGTGTACTGTGCACGATGTACTTTCCACATGTGTGTGTGGTTAGGATGTGGAAGTGCGTCGTTGAAAAATTCATTATAATTTAGAAATAAAATTCCATTTCGAAATATTGCATTCCTACGAATTGCAATAACATTACACTTTTATGCACTCTTTAGTTGCTGATTTGTAGTATTATCGGGTACATACTTTTTGCATACACGAAGAATATAATATAGAATACTTATTGAAATATGAATCTTACGTAACAGAATTAACAGAAACAAACATGAATATTCTACGTACAATATATTTTACCAAAGATTATATTACATCGACACATTCTATAAAAATGTTTACAGAAATAATATAAATACGCAATAGTCATTAGCCTTTGTCAGCCGATTTCAGGAAATTGGTACGTACTTTAGAGTGTGAATGTTTGCAATGTTCGGGTGTCGGAGGAACCCCGGGGCATCCTCTCTAGATTAGGCTCTTGCGCCCGGACATTATGAATGAGAACCGTGGAGTGTACGTTTGCGAGAATGAGTTTTGCAATTTTTTAAATATAGAGTTAGGTAGGTAGGTAACTTATTTTCTGGTGTGCGTGATTAGACCTAAGTAGGTAGGGTCAGGGTAGGACTGTTCACAATTCTTTTTCGGGTAGGCGCGATCTCGCGTGATAGTCCTACGCCTGTAGTTCGATTTGGAGAATCGAAAGGTTAGCCGATCCAAACGGATTCTACCGTTTGTGTTGGTTTTACTTTCGGTTCTTGGAATCGCGCGGCTTTACAGTCGCTCGTCGCGTTTCGCGGTCGTGACAGGTCCTCAGAAACGATCGACCCGCTCGAGATTTTCCACACGTGGTCCGAAAACGATTCCTGGAATCGTTGGAGGACTGTGTATTGCACGGAATCTCGAGCCTAGGCTTAAGTTTCAGGCTTTGGCAGGACCGCTGAAGAAAGAAAAGGCTATATGCCGAAGAGGCCTTGACAAACTGTCGCAAGAATGGGCTGCAACAAATGGCTCTTCATTTTCATCTTCGGATGAGGATGGAAAGTCATTATTTGTTTCTACTGTGTCACTGTATTCGCTTGTAGTTGTAGTATTTAGTAGTTTTTCAGATAGTACTTGTACCACAACACCAGTATCTTTGGGAAAATCGAGGTTTCCTTAGTGTTGCGAAATACAAATGCTCGCGTTTGCTTTCAAGATAGCATTGCAAATAATATAAACTTATCGCGATTACTTTTAGCGTTGCGAACGATGAATATTTTTCGCGTTTTCTTCCAGAGTAGTGTCACGAGTAAACAATAATCGCGGTCTGCATTAGGGTTGCGAAAAGTGAATGTTATTCGCGTTGTTTGTCTAGTTATGTTTGCAAATAATTACTTTTAGAGATAACTTTAGAGTAGCGAAAGACGAGAATTTTTCGCGTTTTCTTTCAGAGTAGTGTTCGAAAATATGAATATTATTTATGAAAATAAATCATGAAATGTCTATAATCTTTTTTTTTTTGTTTTTTTACAGTTTCTGGATCACCCCTACAGCCTGGTAATATTTTGTTCCTTCAGTCCCAACTATGGATCGTGTAATTTTCATTTCGTTAAAAAACAAACAAAGACCTGTAATTTCATTTCCTGCCATAATAAGCGCTTTGATCGTTTTCTATAGCCTGTTGGTAATGTTGCGAGTGACACCGAAATGATAATGGGGATCTAGAGTCCCAGAGAAATGGACCGAAAAATGCATTGGTTGTAACGTTTACTTGCATACCTCGTGTGTGGTCTCACCTAGATCGAGCGCGTCGCCATCGTCCGGGTATACAGGCAACTACCTCGTCCAGTTGGAGTTGCTGCGAACAGTTTCGATCCACCATTCCACAGGTTTGTTAGGGGGTTTGTGTCTGGACTGAAACGTGTCCTGATCCACGGAAATATAAATGTCGCCGAAACCTGTTGCGCTCGTTGCTTTCTCTACTCGTTCATCGTCGGTGTTGCACACTTGGCCGAAGTTAGGGGTCTAGTTTTAACTTTCCGAGTTGGCAAGGTCCTGAAAATCTTGTCCTTGACGGTAGATCCTTGTTGAATATGTATAAAACGATATTTCGTGCTTGCCTCGACGAGTTTGAAAGGAACTGGGCCAAACAGAGAGAATCTTAGCGACGAGTTACTTCGTTGCTGTTCCTGTCCCAGTGAAAAGTTATTTTATTTCTTCTGATTAATTCTGATTGGTTTTAATAGCCTTTTGTGATAGTAGAATGTGATATCATTGAATGCGATTAAACAGAGGCTTTAGCTTCGATTGTCTTCGACGTCGACGCAATTGTTTCTCAACGCTTTTAAATTGCTCTTCGGTGAAATATAGCTCGTCTTCGACCAAAAGTTATTGTCGAAAATATGGAGAACGTAGTGGAATGCTTATATCTGAAATTTATTACAAGATGATAAGGCGGGCGCGTTATGAAGGAATCGTTCCCGCGACGCGGAGAAACTCGCTGAGAACTCCTGCGAGTTTACGACGCGTGTTCCCTGTTTGCGCTTAGGGGGATGGATAGTAAAATGGGTAATAACCGGTAGACTTTCACGAGTCTTGCCTCGGGCTGCGAGCTTTCTAAAAACTTTACATTCTTCAGCGTTCTTTGACGTTCTTCGAGCATTCGGCGCTCGTAAACGCAAAACCCACGTGAAATCGAAAAAAAGACTGTTTTCTTGTTCGCAAATATCATCAGTTATTATTATTATTGTGTGGAGTATAGTTTATTGTACTTTCTGAGGTATGATTAAACGGTTCGAAGTATCAACCCCATTTCTATGGGCCATCATTAGTAGATTTGGGAAAATTTCGTTTGAAATGAAAGTGAGAAATTAATTCCAGGTTGCTGAAAATTATTACTGGTGTAAATGTAACCAGGGTTAAACAATAATGAAGAAATAAATATTCATCGATGCTGTCGGATTCAAGTTTACCGCGCGTTAAGTCGGATTTTACGAGGAAGTTATAAAGTATACAGGGAAGTTATAAACGCTGATATAAAAATTCGAAATTCATGTCAAAATTAGTCGCGACTACTATTGCTTCGGAACTGTCGTAAATTCCTGGAACACGGACGGTCTCGTTTTATAAATCTTAGCTCGTAAATGATACGAAACTGCCGCTGGATTTTCATCTAGCCCGGAGCGGCGTTATTTACCGAGGCCTGGTTGCATTTCATTAAGTATTTAGCTAGTGGAAATTCTGCGAGACACGAACGAGAAGCCAATTTAAATATGCTATGCGGAAAAACGCGAAAATAGTTGGCGTAGGCGCTAGGGGGCGATTCGCGTCAGTTAATTCTGGAGAGAACCGAAAGTTGCTTCGTCGTTATACGTCGCTGAACAACCCTCTCCGTATGAAATTGAGTTTCACTTCGACTTTACTTGATAAATAATTATCCCCCTCTCGATTACAAGGATGAAAAAATAGAATTCTTCTTTTGCTATATTTCGTTAAAAGACTTTTGACATTAAAATATCATCAAATTGCTCTGAATTCTGAGTGAATTTAAATTTATAATGATTTTATTTTAATATTGATTTTTTTCATATTGAATTATCAAATGTGGTTCGCTAGAATATAGACAGAGTTCTTCGTCTCCAACACGAAATAATAAAACTCAGATTCGGATCGAAACGGACCCGTAGTACTACAAGTTTCTGAAATGACCATTTTTTGAACGCTGTGTATAGCATTATGGATGATAAGCGGCCCAGGGTTGGTCGCCCTTGTCGCTGTCAATGCGTGGGTGGGTCGGGGGTTAAAGGACCGAACACGGAGCACGTGGTAACGCGTATGCGCTTTAGGTGCAGGAGCACATGGCCGGCTCGAGCCACGACTCGGTCTATTTCGGAGGGTTTCGCGAGTCGACGGTCGAAGGACCGGCGGCAGTCGCGCGCCGGCCGCTGCCTCGAGAGGGTGTTTGTGTTGACGTCGTCGCGATGAAAATTTGGCCGCCATAGAGGTTATGTTTACGCGTGTCGCGGGAACCGGACCGACCACGCATGCTCTTCTGCGTTCACCTTCTTGAAAATCCTGCACAGATCCATCGTCACGTGTTAATCGAGAAATCGGTATCCTTCGACGATCAGTTTGGTTCACGGATCAGCCTGGCAACTCTCGAACGCAGGAAAACTGTAAGTTCGCGTAACAATTCTCGCGCTACATTCCATATAATAATTCTAGATTCTTTTTTTAACGAGAAACCGTGATTTTGTACGATTTCTGAGTGAAATCTCAAGTTGTTACTGGGATCAAAATATGGCGACTGTTTTTCTTATTCGTGTCGATTTCGATTTGAGTTCGAGTAATTTGGTAATCTGTCCTTCAAAGTGCTCAAAAATTTGTTTACTATCTCGGAAACGCGTGTAGGAACGTCTCGTAACGAGCAGTCTGTTCATTACTCGCTGTTTCTACTTGTACCGATGTTCAACTCGAATGCTATTACACACGACTCCATATGTTTTCAAACTTGGATCCTTGACTAAATTTAATCTAGCAAGTGAAAAGGAGAGACTGTAGTGTTCGGATTAAAAATGAATCGTTGTTACTCTTTTACTTTCATTTCATCTGTGATTACGTACGCATGTACCAAATACTGTGCACAGCTGAAAAGTTGGCACTTGTCTAAGTCCTGAAAACCTGAATCTCCAATGCCTTTTTCTTTCTACGTTCGTCAAGCTGTTCGACTAATAAAAACAACACTTTTGCTATAAATAGGTTTATATTAGTACCAATCAGGCGATCAATTTTTTCAGATGCCAACTTTTCAATTCTGTACAGTATGTAGAAAAGCATAAGCGGGGTGCATGATCGTTCATCTATAAATACGCGTAACTCGAGCACTCACTGTATAGAATTCGATACGGTCGATCGTATTTCACAAAAAATGGACGCCCGGAGTGATTTGTTCGTCAATAACTGTTCAAGGGAAGAACAGCCGCGCTACTCGTCCTGTCGCGATATTTTTCCCGTCCTGCGCACGCACTTCCAATGTTTTTCCTCGCGCGACTTTCCTGTCCGAGCATGGTTCATTTCGATGCGAGTTCTCTGAAACGCGAGACTAGCGTGATCGCATATAAAGCTCGCGAGCGCGCGTGGAACAATGGCGCGAGTTTTAATATCGTCCAACCGCTCATAACCGCGCTGGTAAATTACGACGGCGGATGTATTTGGGTTCGTGACCACCGATAACAATTTTACAATCGTCCATTCGACCCCTTTGCTCGATGTCGAATGCGTCGAATGTAATTCGCATATAAATTATGCGATACAAATAAAGCGCTACGTGCTGTGGACCGTGAATTTCCCCGACATTGTTCGTTAAAATTAGTGATGGGATTGAAACTTATCCTGATACGCTCGATACTCTTGTACAACGCATTTCTATAATTTTTTCTACAAAATCCAAAGTTAGTTACTATGTGAAAGTGAATATGCAGAGCATTGTTTTTGTAGATTTCGTTTTTATAACTAAAATGTCTTTGTAACGGTTGGAAGAAAAATAGAATATTTTAATATTAACATCTCCATAATTTGTAATCAATATTGCAAACGAATTTTTTATTCTAATGATCGCTAGCCAACCAGTAATGATTTCAACAGATTGATTCACGCTGTTGAACTTTTTAATTGATGTAATTCAACTCCTGCCATGCACGAGACCCTACTGTCATCCATTTACATTCGATGAAAATTTCCAATAAATATACCGCCAACTGGAAATAATTTCCTGGAAAAAGGCTCTTTTACATATGGACGACACAAATGGACTCGGGAATGAAAATCCGCGATACATTTTCATGCAAATAGAGATTACGTAATGGATTATAACAACATGGCGTCGTAACTGGACCATTCGAGTTTCAGTAGAAACTTTCAATGCGTTTTCTACGCGGCCTATCGAGTACCAAAGAAGTTAATCTATAAATGGATACGTATTCTAGAATAACTCGAGGACATATTGAATCGAATTCGTATCTTTTTTTAAAATGCAACAAAAATTTAAGTTTTCTGATTTTACGACGTACAGGTATTATTTTTTTTAAATTTCGGTAATTTTAAAACCTCATTTCGAGAACCATAAAACGATCATTTTCATTTTCATCTTTTAATTTAAATTTAATAGAAATTAATTCAGAATTTTAACTTGTTGCATTTAAATGTAATATGATATACATTTACATTTTAATTAAAAATAAAATTTTAATTATGGTTACATTTATAAATATATTTCGATATAACTAACTTGTTTCATTAAAGTAACTACTCCTAAGATTTTACAAATTCTGGAGATGAAGGAACTTCGAAGAGTCAAGTAATAATTAAAAGTTTCTTTTAAATATAAACTTGGAAAACATGTAGGCCATTTTGAACTCGCAGGCAAGAGTTGACTTACACTAATCTAAAGCCAGTGTCGGTCAAACTCCGAACCCATCTAAGGCAAGGTTTCCTAGGTCAGGCTTACTGACGTTTACACCAGCAAAATCAGTCTTTTATCTGAATCGACAAAATATACTACCACAAAAGTGTACCTACGAGCATCATGGGTTAGACTAATTATTTTTATCGTTAAATCACATCTCACACACGCTTAGATCTGTTTGGTTTCTCGTACGATATTTATCGATACCAATAATGTTTTGAAAAAACAAATATTCTGAAAATATTTTTCACTGTTTATATTCAGTTTAGACTCGAGAAAAATAGATCCTCATGAGTATTCCTACGCAAGTGCAATTATTATTTTTTTACTGACCGGTTATCAGCGGTAACCCAATTGCTTCTGACTGCGATTTGCTTTGACACGAGTAATTGGATCAAAATTCAAAAAGCAGCACGCGTTCATCTAATTCGAGATCATGAAACTGGCTGCGAGCTAATTCGCTCGCGGACAAGAGATTAAAGGGAAACGTTTTACCTGTCTGCCGCCCTTACAGCTGCCAGAAGAATTTAATTTGATCCGCTGGTCCAACTCCGGGCAATTCGCGCGACGTCAAATTTTTAGCAAGCACGAGGAAGAAGGGAAACACTCTGAGCTCTTTATTAAATTTTCGTCGAGACTAGCGGTACGAATTTGTTGCCAAGCTTCTCCGTCGAACCGAATTTATCGAAGTACGTTTTTGCCCCGAGTTACGGAAAAAGAGGCGACGTCGACGCTGGATATAATAACTCTTTCCCGAATATCGAACACCCTAACATTCTGCGGTTTCTCAGTTTGTAAACTCATCGCTGGTACATGTTAGTTATAAAGATGAGAAAAAAAGCAGTTGTCGACGCGAATTCGAAATTTCCTATGATTTAATGTTAGAATTATTGGGTAACAATACTGGACAAAAATATAAAACACTTCGTATATTTCTGTGTTTTGCATATTTAAAGTAAAGGCTTGTCAATTTTATACATTCTATACGTTATTGTACATTATAGTCCGACCTAAATGACCAGATGGATTTGCCAGTTATTATTATAATGTGCGTTAAAGAGCAATATCAAAAGTCAGTGTACAAATGGCGGATGCGTAATGGTTTGAACAGGAATTGGTTACAATAGGGAAACGGATTAACTTCATTATTCAGAACAGAATGAACAGAATTGCGTGCCTGAAATTATTAAACAATGAACTAACAATTAGTTCCCTGAATGCATTGCTGGCGAAAATTACATTTTCACCGAAATAATGTTGCTGTTCGTACAGCAAAGTCTTCACCTCTGAAGCGATAAGCGTGATTTCGGATGATACTGACGATTGTAATATTTTCTGTTATTCATACTGTGACATTTTACCTTACTTTACAATGTTTCCAACCGAACGTAGGAAAATATTCCATCCCCTTACATAGAGCGTATAATTTCGCGAATCTCTCGGTGGCACGTGACCAGATAGGCCAAGCGATAAAAAAGGGACAATGCTCGCAATCGATGAAGCTATTGTAAGAGCTGACGCAACCATCCTTTTGCGGAATAGCCCGCATAAGCGAAAATCAGTTCTCGTCGACCGTCGTGCAAAGTGTTGCAAAATTCGAGGCCCTTTGAGGCTCGCGCCATTTCGTTCGTTTGTTCGTCTGAAAAGTTATCCTGAAATATGCTGATTTTCGATCGTTAGAAATATTTTCGCGAAATCACGTCGAAATATGCAATTTTAAAAAAGTTCGTACGAATCCAATTTTATTATTATTCGTGTTTCATTTTGTATTTGAACCTTTTACCACAGACGAGGTATACGAGTAGACCTTTCACCTTATGGGCTTTCGTGGCCCAATCTGACTGCCATACCGACCTGAAAATTCGGTTTTAGTGTTCTCTTCACATGGATGGCGGTCAGTTGAGAAACTATTCATTGAATTAGTATTGATAGTATTGAAATTCTGTCTATACGTACGTGTCTGTGGCTGACAATAATACATGCAAAATATCTCTGAGCACATAATTTTCTTTGCAAGTATATCGACGCGTGGAACTTTATCTTGGGTTCTGGGAAATTTTGACGAATTTAGTGCGCGAGATGTTTGATCAGAGTATTTCCGTTTTGCGGGAAAGTAAGGAAAATAGAGGCAACGATTCTCCTATCAGAGACTTTCTAGATGATCTCGCGAAGATGCCTCGAACAATCATAAATCACAAAAGAAGGGTTGGCTGACAAAGCTGTTGAGCAAACGTGGGCGTAGAAGGAAGGGTGCCGATAAAATGGGAAAGCAAAGAAGAAACAGGGAAAGATTGGGAAGGGGTGTTCGTTACTTCGGCATCGTTTCTTTTCCAAACTTTTCCCATCTTTCGTATCAGCGACTTCCCCTTTCTGCCTGCTGGCCTGATTAAGACATTTCTATGGTCTCGACGAATTATCGTCGAATAAAATGGTACACAAATGGTGGATCGCGATTTATTCTCTCATAACCGTCAAATATATATTTTGGGCATCGCTTTTCATAGGCATGAGCATAGTTTGAACACAAAATATTTAAAAAAAAAAAAAACGAGGAACGTTTGTCGAGAATGTTAAAATGTCTCGGTGGTGGTAATTGAAACTTTTTTAATTAGTGGCGTTATCTATTTACAGTTGAAATGTTCACGTGCCTCGAAATTCTCAAATTCACGCCGTTATTCTCGTGCTTACTAAATTCTCGTTTTCATTAAAATATTCCGCACTGTAGAAGCAGAGAATAAATTGTTGGAAGTAATTAGAATATGACATTCTCGAAAAATGGAGATTGAAAGAAATATTAGAGACAACAGAATTTGGACAAACAGTTTTAAACAGAGTACATTACAATAAAGTAAAGTATTCTTTTTTAATATAAAATACCAATCCTTCAGAAGTCTTATTGTCCACAAATTTTTAAATAAAAGGAAGCAAGCTGACAAGATGATTTTCTGCAGATTGCTGTTTTACATCCTGTATTTACATACATTCCATTCTCGGAGATTTTAAAGTATCTGGTAACATAGCTATTCATTTCTGTATTAATTCTCCAGTTACTTCCAAGCCAGCAGAATTCCAGACAACATTATGAGAAAATTTAATATAACTTTTCCACGGCTGTTCGTCTAATACACGTTTCAACTTCGTAACCAACATTGTTTACGGAAAACAAACTGTTATGTATTTAATACTTCATACATAAATAGCAATTCACTTTTATTACATTAAATTGATGTATAGTTTTCGCGAGCAAAATTTATTGTTTTTTAAATAAATACAAATCAGTTACCTTTTAATACAGACATTAAATTCGACAACTAGGCAAGAATTAATTTAAGCAAGGTGAATAGGAAGGTATGAATTTCGATTGAATATTCGGTATCGGTATCTATTCCCGATTTCCAACGATAACCTCGTGTCCAATCCTTTCGTTTAAGCTAGTCCAAGATGTCCTTCGATTCTTTCGGACAAACAAACGATAGACGTCGAAATTACAAGAACGAGGTCTCGACGCGACTGCACGCGGATCCAAAATGTCGCCGACCAGTCTGGCGGTTGAAACTGTTTCAAGTATAAGACATTGGATAGCCGTGTGCTGAAAAGTCGTTCCATTGTTTCGCGCCGAGGAACGGGAAGAAAAGTCACGTAACTTGCTCGAATTCCGTCTGACCCGCGATAGAATCGTTACATTGAATTAAAGTCGAATAAAACGCTCGGCGAGCATCGAGACGCGCGGGGTCGGACGGTAGTTGTAGGCAGACAATGAGGCTGTTTCCATGATTTTATTCCTCGAGACACGCGAAACAACCGCGAACATCTAACGAGGTACTTTCGCGTCGATCGAACGACAAGCACCGCATCGAATTTGCAATTTATGCGATGTAACGACGTATACGAAACCGCCGAGTACTTTTACACTCGGGAAGAATAGAAAATAATGGGTTTTCTCGTGAAGCGTGCTTGTATCCAGCTTGATTTGTACTTGCGAAGGAGGTCGAGACACAGCAGAATGCAACTTTACGTCGAAAAATGCGCGCGCGTATTTTCACGTAGCTAGATTACGCTTGGCGCCCGACTTCGAATTCCATCGCCGTGAGGAACTCTACTCGATGGGGCGTAAAGAGCTTCTTTGGTAGGTTTTCTCGTGCTAATTTACACTGTCTTTAAGGGCTCCAGGACAAGAAAAAATAAATTCAAATTATTTTCCGTTCTTAGGTGTAACAGCTTTACATGTTTTTTACAATAACTTGGAAAAACTTTGATTTACATTTAGCTCGTGTCTGTTGAATAAAGGTATACCAACGATACGTTGTTATTAAATCGAAACCTCGTTTCTGCGTTGTGCTGTTTGTAATTAAACCGTCCAGGCTCCATTTATTTCACTGTCACGGCGACAATTTGCATGTCTGTTTAAAATTATCGTACTACAACCGTCCATTATCGTGCCAACGGATTTTTTAACGCAGTGTTAAATATTTCGCGTCACCGAACACGTCTAATGGCCCATTTCGCGGCATGCTTTATTCGTACCGTCACGGGTCGCGTCGTTCTGTTGCAAATAATTTCGAAAACGCGGGAATGGACGAATAAATTTCAGTTTTACAAGGTTCACGGCGCACTCGACGCTCGGGAAGCGTGGCCATAATGTTTGTTGCCATAAATTCCGCTCCGAGAAGTGGGCCAAGCCCGCGGATAATATGTAAATTTTCGCGACAAAGCTCCCAGGATCGACCACAACTTCTCATTTCACGACCAATGAGAAACATTGAATCGGTCGTCTCAAGTGCGCGATACAGAAGGTTGAGGGACGAGCGTTCGTGCAAAATGAAAATTTACTCGGATCTCGTCTGGTAACTCTCTCTTTCTTTTCTCCATTTAAGTTGGTCCTACAGAATCCTATTACCTCGTATTTTCTTGCTCTTTTCCCCGTGTACCGTGGAAAAATACAGAGAGTTTCTTATTCGTCGTTAAACGAGTCCAGATAGTCCAAACGTTTGTCTTTCGCAGATTCGTTGTCGATCGAATTAATCCCTCGGTTGAAAATAATAATTATTAACATAAATTTCAGAATTTGTGTGTTTGTGATTTCATTGCAACTATTGCTTCCTTCGTCCAATACGTATGAAACTTTGTTTAGTTGTTCTTTATAGTTCAATGGATAGTGTAGGCTATTGATTTGCAGAAATATTACCTATATTTATGTTTGTTTTAATATGAAAGTAATAAGTCTAGATATAGTAATGTCGAAAATCGAGATCTTTGAAGGAACGATTCCTATGATTTCGTTTGATTCCCCCTAATTCATATCTCGCGATCGAGCGATTTTCATCGCTGCATGCACAATATGCATTCATTTCCCGCGCACGACGTATCAGTCATCGCGTTGCTTGGTCAAAATATCGAACTAAATCGTCGACTCGAATAATTTGCCAACAAATGGCTACTTCGTCCCCCTCGATACGTCTGTTTGCATTAATTCACGGTAATTTCCAGGTCGACCTGTAACGAAGCACGAAACGACGTGCAGTCGACAATGACCCGAAGTTCGTTCCGCAAATTTTCACTGTTACGATCATTTATGATCGTCAGATTAATAATTACACTCGTTTCGCAAGCACAGTGAATTAATTATTCGACGAATATTGGCTTTAAAAAATTAAAATTGTACATTATTGTATTCTGAAAATTTACCAAAGAAGTCAAAGCATAGAATTTTAACCAATTTACTTCATAAAATATTTTTTAATTGATCCTCTGATTTTTAAAGGCATAATCATATGTTACCGCAGATCCAAATAATGGAATATTAACAACTGTTTGTGTGTTTATTTATTTCCATGTGTAACCAGTTCCTTCTTATTTTATGTGTTCGTTGTTCCATTTGAATAATAAAGTGTGTCGTAAAATGCCTGGCCAAAAGATGACTAATATTTATGAGAAGCAATAATGGAAGCGAAGAACGAGATTGTAAGTCAATATCAAATTTTATTATCTTTATATTTCATTCGTAAATGAGCACCTTGAGCGTTTCTAGCAGCGAGTACAGCATTGCCTCGTTATAAGTCGTTTTTCGTGACTCGTTATATGTCGATGACTTTATACAGTTAATGGAAAAGTAATCGATTTTTGACACTTTTAGAACATCCTGTATGCACGATCTGTGAGTTTTCTCTCGAATTGTTAAACGTAGTTGTCGAAAGTCAAGACAAGCTTGAAAGTTGAACCCTGTTCAGGTCTTTGTTCCGTTGCTTTCAGGTAAATGCATAGAAGCGTGAGGTGTCGTGGCTCGCGGGTGTAATTCGTGCGGTGGTGTCTGTGAAAAGGGCCAACGAGAGGCCGCAACGGTGTGTTTTCGAGATGAGCTATGAATTTGGGCTGCCTGGTAGCCACCGTCTTTGTGCTTCAGCTGCTCCAGCTGCCGTTCCACGTCGCGACGCTACCCTCTGTCGTCAAGATTGGTGAGTCGATTGAACCTACATACATCCTTCTAGTAATGCTTCGTTCTAGAGCCCCTTAACCCTCAAAGGCGATCCCTCTATTTTATAAATATTTTAGCGTGGCAGTTACTTGGTTGTAAGAATAATATTATTTTATTTCTTCACTAGAATCGAGCATGAGACCATATTATTAATTTAAAGAAAATAGCTCCTGTTTCCGCGATTCTCTGGAAACAAGAAATCGCAGAAGAACGCGATGATGCCTTTTTCTCGCCAAAACTTCAGAAGTCTGTCCTTTTGGTACCTTCTTTTGGAAAACTTTCCCGTGTCCGCGCGAGCTTCTCGAATTCAACTTTTCCCCAAATATCCCTAATTCCGTTCGTGCTCGTTATCGCCGCTCTCGACGAGCATTCTTCGCGTAGGTCCCGGGTCGTTGCCATAAAACGAAAAGACGAAAAATAAAACGCGTTCGCGAGTAGTTAGTATTCCGGCGATCACGAAGTTAAGACGTAATTCGATAAATTGAACTTCTTAATTCAATCCTGCGAAGTTTCCGACGGGACAGCTTCCTTGCTCCTTTGTGTAATTGTCACCTAATGGATCCGTGACCACGTTACCCGAGTGTAAGTGCCACCATACTTATACACGAACCGCAAATACATCGTATTTTTGCATGAAATTAATATTATTCGCGTTTTATACACAGCTGTAGAAGATGTAATCGATCGACGTACAACATACTGAAAAGTTCGATTAACAATATTCGTAAGAACTACCCTTGCAACGTTTTCCTGTTTAATACGTCAAATATTTCTCTTTGCTATACATCTGCTAGTCGATGCTTCGCAAACATCGTATCGCGAGTCGAGTAACTGGTTCGTCGCGTTCTTCGTTGCGTATCGATGTGTATTTTAAACATCTGGAGCGCGGTTACGTCCAAATACAAACACAGACAAGCATCTCGTCGCGTTTAGTTTCAAATTAACAGCGTTAACTGCGAAACTTTCGGGGAGATCTCATCGATGCTACTCGAATATCGAATCACGAGTTGGCTGACAAAACTACTCGCTCAGAAATGGGTTTTCGATCAAACAACGACTGGGTTGTAAAGATGGAATGTTGAGCGTTCCATAAAATTCGACAGAGTTCGATATTTCGCACGCGACCGGCCAGATGGCCCGTATATTTCGCGAGCTGACATCGGCAAAAGTTTCACTAAAAATTCCGGGTTCGCGTCGAGTTGCCACGGAATTCACTGCGACCAACTTTCGGCCATCATTTCTCAGAGGACGCCGAGCACCTTGCATGCTCGATTCTCGTTCAGGATATTATTGATGAAACACGGATTTCATCGCGTATAAATGGTCCAGTCACGTACCCGTCGAAAGAGGATATTCGTCTTGGAACTTAATCCTTTCGTAGCTCCGAACGTCTTGCTAAATCTTACTAGCACGTATCCATTGAAATTGAATTTTTCTCGGTTGGGCCATGACTTTGGAAACTTAGACTCGCATAACTTTTGGAAGGGAGAAGATTACGGAAAGTTCGGATCTCCTGTTATCGAGTGAACGTTTATACGTTGAATTCGAGCGACGGAATCGTCGCCACAATTGTTTATCTTTATTCAACACGAGGGATCTTGGTGAATTACACACATAGGTATTGTAGTTGTATCTTTATGTATATTCATGCAACTCTGACTTTACATGGGGAGCAAACGATGCATCGGGACGCCTTTTGCCAGAGGCGGTGCAACGAGAATAAGAAAAGAATCACTTTTAAAAATGAATAAAGGAAACCCCATTACCATATTTGAGCGTAGATTTCCATGTAAATTGATAAAGTGGAAATTGGTATAGTAGCTAACGAGCTTCCTGGATTAAAATTTAAAGAAAGTAAATTTTTAAAGACTCTAAGAAGCATTTTACATAAATCTCGATACAAGTTGTCGGCGTTTCGATTTATTCGCGATTTCTTTGAAAGCACCATTTAACAGGTCGTTCCGTTCGACGGCCGTGCAAGCTCTCAGCTATGTATCTTGCCGCATTGTTAAATTGGCCGTGCAATTTGCGTGACTGTGCCTCCACTCGAGTAACGTAACCTTTGAAAGGGTCGATACTTGCCGCAACAGAGTCGAAGTTCCTGTTAATGGACCGCCGTAAGTCATACGATAATGAACATTAGTTCCCGTATTTTGCCAAGAGCGAATAGCTCGTTTTCGTTTCAATTAACTCGGCTAAATAGAATTAACTGCCAATTACGTTATTATCCAGAAGCGTATATTCAGTGTTTTATGTCAATAATGACTTTTCTCGCGTTTTTCGTTACCTAAATACCATACTGTCGAAACACTACCAGTTGAAATATCTATTACTCAAACAGAGCATGTTTTTACAACCAGAAAATAATTTAAAAAATTGCTTACTTTATTTTAATGTAGTGTTGAGGATCGTTAGGGTACGAAAGCATACTACTGGGGTTGTCAGGGGTTAGACAGTGTAAGGTTTTCCGCGTCGTCGAGTTTGGAAGACTATGAAATTGGATTCCCTTTCAGTTTTGGCGTTTTTTATGTAAAATGTTTGGCGGAAACGACTCCGCGCGAATGCATTATCTCCGATGGGCCCGAGATATACACATTTCCTGGCAATGTTAGACAGCCTCGGTAACTTTCAACTATCTTGGAATGGTATTACCGAGCTCTGAGAACTTTTGCCAGGAGCGTAACTCATGATACATAAGACCAAGCTCTCCCCCTTCTCGTTTCGCAGTTTCTCTTGGACGAAGCTCGCAGGAATGAATAGTGAACAAGCACTCTCGTCCCTTTCCCTTGAAAGATTTAGACTCAAGGGAAAGAAAAACGGTCGGCGGATTCGCTGAAAGAATAGGAGCCGATGATTAAGCGCAGTCTTTCGTATATTTCCGTCGACTGTCTCGTCTTTATTACAAAACGATGGACGAACTTCCTTGAACGAACGCTATCCCTCCCAGGAACGAATTCTTTCCGTTCTCCCTCTGTTCGTAATAGTTCAATCAGCGGGGAAAAATTAAATACAATGTCGCTCGTTATTTGGAGAGACGAAAAGGTCGAGTCGGCGGAATATTTTATCGAATTACCAATTCGAACCGAGTTCCCTCCGTTTTGTTTGTCTTTACAATTTTAGCGAGCCTTCCGAGGGCGGATGATAAAAGCTTCCTTTAATATTGGAACACAGTAAAATGTACACAAAGCTCGTCGTTTAGACCCTTCGCGTTCCGCAGTCACTCGAAACGGGTTTATATTTCTTATTTGCCGCACACATTTTTCAAATTTGAAGACCACTTCGTACGACCTCGTTTCACGTTGAACGAGATAAAAGTTTCAAATTTTTCAACTACGTTTATTCTTTTTCGCGAAACGAAAATGTCAAGATCAGATTTCCAAGTTTTTTCTTTACGGAACGAGCTTTCCGTTTCTCTCAAAATGTATTAGCGCCGTGCAATCGAAGACGCTATTTACCATTCGACAAAACGAAGGACGCGAGCGTCCTTGTGTATCGACAGGAATCGTTTCTCTCGCGTCTGCGAGTTTGAAATCGAGGTGAGGGCACTTGGAGAGATCGCGTTTGTCATTCTCGGAGAATCTCGCTGGAAATGCCTCCTTCTATCGACCCTTCCGTTCTGCTTTCATCCCCCCACGGCGCCGAGTGACGAGCAAAGAGGGCGAATGAATGGACTAAGTTCGGCAACAAAGGAAAGTCGCGGTTAGCCTCCACTTGCCGCGACGCGTGTTCCCCAATCTTCGGTATTCTTCGTCCTTTATCGTCCTTACACTTGTGCACTCGGCCATTGACACGTACTTTTCCATCGGTAAGCTTTAAAAAAAAACCCTGCGAAAAGAAAATATTTCTTTACCTTGTTTAACTTCGTCCAACGACTGTGTACACTGTAATGAAACAGAAGACGATAAAAAAGGTTTCATAACACTTAAAGTTAAGGAAGAAATATAAATCCAAGTAGAAATAACGAGTAATGGTCAGACGCGTTAACCAAGCAGCACTTCAATCTCGAGTTTCTCTAACATGATACTTTGTATAAAACAACATTTCTCATTTTCGATTTAATTAAAGTTAAAAAATTAAATGGCACTCCAACGCCAAGAATTCGCTGAACCCAGTAAGATTAATCGGTTCCAAAATTACCAGAGCATGGAACTGCGGTTACTGTCTTGGAGAACTAGACACAGGAAACGGTCGTCGTAGAGTGGCATCCTGGGATTTCGTGACCCCGTGCATTTGCAAATGAAACAATTTTCGCGGTTGCGTTTTCGTATTCGAGTGTCAGAGTTCGTCGCGTTATTAAAAGGCGCAAGAAAATGGCAGGAATGGGCGAAGAAGCCGGGAGACTCCGTGTAAATGGCACAACGGCGGCGGGTTCTCCGTCTTCTCGTCGACTTCCGGTCGTGCGTCGGTATCCGTCTGCTCGGTTGATGGGCTTCTGCGGTCTGTACCTAATGGGAGAGTCGATTCTCGGTAATTCAGTGGGGTGACTGAGAAGATTAGAAATACGTGGGGAATGACAGGAAGGACAAGGGTTCGAGGGGAGGGTGGTACCGGTAAAGAAAGGCAGAGAAGAGGGTAGTTACGTCACGATGACGCCCGAAACGTCGGTTTTTCGTTGCGTAATCTAAACGTGATATTGATATGGTTTTGTTTTAAAGTCCTAAACTGAAGGCTTCTAAATATCACTGAAAACGATCTATTGAAGGATATCTGCACAAGGATCAGAAATAGAACAAATATACCCACGTTTCCATTACATTGGGCAGCATCTACTTACAATGAACAAGAATATTGCCAGTCCACTGGATCCTCGAGTTTGCATACTTGTCGAAGTCGGAAAACTATGAAGTTCATAACATTGCAGCACTTCGTGGGTTTAATGTCCCGTGAAGTTGATAGACCGTGAAGTTTCAGTACGTTTGAAGTTCGATTGCTTTCGTAGAAATGTTAACGTGATTCTGGCCTTGGCAGATATTACATTTA